CCTTAATATAAGACTCATTTAACTAATTTGATTAGATTAAAGAAGTTAGGTAAGTTAGTTAATTATACGAAAAATGACACATTTTTCCTAAAACACCATAATCATCTTTCTTAATACCCCATCTCCCTCTTCTACTTAATTATAGTTGAGGGAGTATACATAGGAGTAATTTAAAGAAAATTGATAAATATGATACATGAGTCTTATATTTAGGACTAAAACCAACTCAAAAATTGGGTCCTATATTAAGGACCGGAGGAGTATTACTCTGTTTATCCCTATTTTTAAGGATAAAAAACAGAGGTAGGCTTAAAACCAGTAAACATATAAGATTACACAAATGTGGAGCTTTGGATCTTTTTTTTTTTTTTTAAGACCTGAGCATGAAGCTTTAGATATGATCCAGTTTTTTCATAACTTCTATATACATATGTGTAACTCTTGGGTATTGAGTAAAACAATAGTTGGATTTAGTGGAGGAAATGAAGGAATGGTCTGAATTCTGAAATGGATTTTAGCCCGAAAATAACTGAGAATGGAGGTAATAAGTGTTATTTTTGTTCCCCTCGCTTGAGAAATTTATCAATGACCAATCTCAGTGTTCCTCACTCCCTTCCCTTACTGGTAGGACCTACTCTTCCTTGGACTTCCATGGTCTTCGAAAAGTGAGCAGTGGCTTCCTGGAGAAACATTCACAGGTGCTCCTTAGTGCCGAGGATCTTATACCCTGCCACTTCATTGAATACGTATATCATTGCTCTGAGTTTTGCACCTTAGTACCAACGTCGTTTTAAATCTATTAACATTCTGTAACGTTTTCTGTCTGGAAGGATTAACGGCTGTAACCTTAGTAACTGTAAGGATTTAATTAAAAAAAAAAACTTTAGGAACCTAATTAAAAATCTTGTAGAACTTTAAGGACCAGCAGATTACTTTTCCCTATGAATTATTCAATTTTTTTTAAAATAATTATTTTAATGTGTGTAAAATCTATAATAACAATAATCTCATAACTGTCATTTTTTTTAAAAGATATTTTTTATTTAGAAATCATTAAATGAAAATTTTAAATGTGAAATCTTTAAAATTGTATTTAGATGGTACAAATTTTACTCGGATACTCGTATTTGTGATAAGTACCGAAATTGATTCCATAATACCACCCAAACCGTTTTTCCTTTGGAATGCTAACATGTCTGGATTCCATCATGCTTGTGATTTCTATAGCACCACATGCTCATGTTCAAATCGGTGAGTTCGAGTCCTTTAAATTATTCAGGTCAAAAAGAATCCTTTAAATTATTTAATCATACTAAGGTAGAGGAAAATAAACAGAGACGAGCCTCTACCTTAACAAATCATATGTCGTGTGTCATTCTTCTTTAGTTGTGTCATATAAATTTAATTGACTAATTTGAAGAGATTAAGAAAGTTAAATAAATTATTTTATAATATTATATTTATTTTTTTTTTCAAACTAATTTGTTCAGCTTATAAATTGATATATGACCTAACAATACAAACATAGAACAGCAGATCTTAGTCTACACTCTGTACATGTGGACTTTGCAAAAACAAGAATTATTTGTTACATTTGGGACTTTGGGGTTGTTTGGTTTATTTAAGAAGCACTTTTCAAAAAGTGTTTTCTTGCAAATCAAAACAAACTTTAACATACTTATTTCGTATAAGAAAAAATCACTTTTAAAACTACGGCTTGGTTTCTACCCAAACACAGGAACCATGGTAATAACTAGCTTGAGTAAATATTACATGTGCACCTTATTTTTACATTGACCATTAAATGTGCGTAATCACCTTCAAAGTATTGTTAGGTACTTAATATGGTAAGTCTCCCAACATAAATTATATCATTTTTTTTGTAAAAAATTTTAGGCTGAGTTTCAGATTAAATCTAAGAGGGTGTTTAAATGAAAATCAAACTATGATTTTAAAAATAATTTTACAATAGATGAAGTAAGTATGTGAGAAGAGTTTTATCTCGACTTATTTAAAAGTATCTTTCAAAAGTGCTTTTTGGATTTACTAAACACACTTAAGTCAAGAGCAGGGCGCTTAATCCAACTCCTCCTAGGTGATATTATGTTAGGTTGGATGAACCTACAATAGATTCCCAGGCATTTACCTAGGCATCCTAGATTTGGGATGCTCCCTCAAGTGTTGCGATGACAAATTAAATCCCCTGTTTTCAGTGAGAAAGTGTAATTCTTACCTTTGAGTCTGCGGACGATGAGTAGCATGAATATATCATTGACCTCGCACACGATTTTCTTCAACTGCACTGAGGTCCAAAAAGGAATTCTCCGAGATGTTTGGGCCAGCCCATCGACTAAGGGGTCTTTTACCATAGAAAAACATTTTTAATGTACAAAAGAATATATATATATATATATATTTATTGCTAAGCATAAGTATTCTCTTAGACAATCATATTTGAAATACTATCAGACACTAAATATAAACACCTCTAATAATAGATATTCAAAATTTAGTTCGTCACATTGTGAAGGATTAACTTATTCTCCTAGATCCAACCCCATTTTTTAACTTAAAGGAAAAATTAATTTGCAAGGCATTATTATTATATTCGCTTCTTTCATTATTGGTTGCAGGTATCTGAGGCCCATTAGAAGGGCGAGTGGACGAGGAAGGTTAACGCGTGGGGTCAGTTCCAGCTGGGCTTCCACTTCGGCTTGTTGTTAGCCACGTCATTAAAAAATAAAGAGTTTGATTAATTAAGGACTAATGCAAACATCTAAATTTATAAGAACTTGATTAAAGAAATTCAAACTATAATTGAGGTAAATTATAAGGACTAGCGAATTAAATTTTTCTAACTTTAATTACACAAAGTGAAAATAAGTAAAATTAATTAAGGATATTAATGTTCCAACCACATAGGATTGTATAGCACATTGCCGGCAACAAAAAGTATAGCACATTAGAAGAAAGCTTGTAGATCAAAAATTGTATAAAACAATATGCATATAATCTCTAAAAAGACCAAGGCAAGTCACATTTAAGGAAATGTTAGGGTGCAAATTTGCTCTGGAGGTTTCTATTTAAGAGCGATGGGTACCTAAAAGGTTTTTTACATATAAATTTGTCCTAAAAATTTAAAATTATAGCAATATTGTTTCATACTGTTTAAAAACTAATGTTAATTGTTAACATTTTAACAATAGTCCCTTGAACATGTAATATATATGCTATTGGAGTATGCTAAAATATGCTGTTTAAGTGGTTAGAGTTTGGAGCTTTAAGAGAGATTAAAGCGGTGTTGGGATTAGCTTATTAGAAGTGATTTTATAGAATTTAAAATAAATATGTAAGATGAGTTTTATCTTGGCTTATGTGAAAACACTTTTTTTTTAAAGTGTTTCCTGGAGTTACCAAACACCCTCTAATAAGTATGCTATTGAAGTATGTCAAAATATGTAAATTAATCTGTCCCTATATATATATAGTTTGTAGGTTTTGATTTGTGGCAAAGCTCTCCAACAAGACAAAAGGAAAGGAACCAAGAAAGAGGGTAATAACTGAAGCGGAGAAAGTTTAAGAGGTAATGAAAACTTTTTAAATCTCATATAATATATGTTTGGTTGCTTGAATTAGGGGTGTTCAACTAGGTTCGTCTTGGCTAGCTCGTCCTGATAGGACAAACTCGTTCTGAAATTTTTTTCGAGATAGGACAAAAAATGGGATCGGGATAGGACGAGATGGGTTATGGGACGGGATCGTCTCGTCCTAGTAATAATATTTTTTACTTTTTTTTATCATATTATAATTATTAAATATTAAAAATACAAAATGTTTATATTTGTAGCTCTCAATACATATGTAGTTGAATGGTTATTATTTATTTAGAGTTTTTATAGTTGCTTATGATTTTTGGAATAGTGAAAATAAATTTTGGAGTTATTATGGTACTGATTATTATTTATTTGGACTTTTCTTTAAGAGAGCTAAGCCAAAAAAATAAAAAGTAAAAAAAAAAAGCTTTCAAAAGGGTTAAGCCCAAAGAACTAAAAATAAAAAGAGAAAAACAATCAAAATCCATTACAATAGGTCTAATCACAAAATAAAAATATTTTTTAAAAAAATGGAACGTCTCGATCCCTTTCCACCCGTACTGGGACCGGGACACGGGACATATTTCCTGTCTCGTCCCTATTCATCAAGATGGGATCAGGACAGGCCTGTCTCGGTCTTGTCTCGTGAACAACCCTAGCTTGCATATTTATTTGTGACATATGTCATGATTAAGCCTTTGAACATGTAATATTCCTGTTAAGTCTGTGTCTTGGTCATGTATATTTGCTTGTAAGGTCTTCTTCTATTGGCTATTTACATACTTTGTTAATTATCATTGCACATTATATATATATTGAGTTGATGTTTCGCTTCTAAGGTTCTATGAGTCTCATCCCTTTTCCTTCATATATCAATATGGGAACAAGCACTTTTAATGGCAAGTGTAAGGTAGTAGAGGCAATTTTATTTAAGATGTTATCAGGCATTAAATAGGATACGTCTCTCAACAAGAATTCGAACTTTGTTTTGTCACATAGTGAAGGACTAACTATTTCTACTGAACCTAATGTCTATTAGTTATATCATCATGTTTGAACGTGAGGAAAGAAACATATGCTTTTTTTTCCCTTTCCAAAAATGTCCTAGAAATCTGGAATTTATTGTGGAAATCCGTACTGTCCAGAGTTGTACATGCACTGCACAAAGCCCAAAATGGAATTGGGTCTTATGGTAGCTAGACCAACAAATTAAAGTCCATCACACTGCTTCCAGCGCTGAGAAGATTGGGATAAGATTAGTGGATTTTTACCCAATAAAATGTTTAAAGAGAACCTTATCAAAAATACAAAATGTTTAAAGAGAAGGCTCGTGAGATAAGCTTGGCTTATGGACCTATATTATATATGCACAAGTACATAACCGCTCTTCTTCACTCTTTCAACTTCCATCAGCCGCCACCTTCCCCTCATCTCACACACCTGCAAAAACAGAAACATAGTGAGAGAGAGAGAGAGAGGAGGTCGAAAGGAGAGGAAGCAAGATGAAAGGCCAAAGCTCACATGCAAGCCGATCCCCAGAGTAAGGTGAGTATCCTGAATCTCCTCCCGTCCTTCTTTTCTCCTCCTATGGCATCTTTGAAAATCAATGTAGGATAATATAATATAATGGATAGTGGGTGGTGTAATGTGTTTCCTGGTTTGCATGCTGGATTCCACTACTGGGGAGTAATAATGATGATTTTCAAAGCTGGAAAAAAAATAATTGCACAGTAAGGGGAGTGCTGTTTCAAAAATTAGAGAGCGAGAGAGGAGTGTTCATACATTATGAAATATATAGCATGATTTTAGGGGCATTAAGTATGGGAGAATAATTACTATGGAATTGAAATTGTTGAAGCTCAAAGTTTGCTCTTTAATAGGGGTTACAGGGTTTTAAATGTTTAAAATAAAAGAAATAAATGTGGACATAAATATATGGGTATGTTGACGTGATGGCTGATGAGTATAATCTTTATGGAAGCTGGAAAATTTATATAAGCCATTGTTTGATGCACTCCTAAGCCGCAACAATGTTTAGAAATTTAATGATGGTTAGAGAAGATAATATGGAGCTAGAAATTTTCAGAGTAGCTACAAATGATGCTGTCCGAATAATGTTTAGAAATGATGATGCCTACAAATTAATAGTGAAGAAGGGGTAAAATAGTAAATGCACTACCCAAAGCCCAAATTTGCTTGTCCAAATTTGATAAATGATTGGTTTATTCGGAACAAATTGGAGAAAAAACTAGCTAGGTCATATTTTTATCCTAGAAAAGTTTTTCAAACCATCCTGCCTTTGGAGTTATCACCTCAAAAAATGAAAATAACCAAGTGAAACAAATATCTTAGCAACCCAATTCTTAACTATCTTACAAACTACTCCTTCGGTTTGACCTAACTGAAGAGTTGATGTTGGTCTTATATATAAGACCTATTTTATATATTTATCGATTTTTTTTCAAATCACTTCTACTTATATTATCTAAACAATAATCAAGTAGAAGAGGGAGAAAATGAATTAAGAAAGATACATAGGATGTTTTAGAAACAATATATCATATTAACTTATCTAACTAACATTTTCAATATCAAATTAATTAATTATGTTTTACATTAAGAATCAAAAGATTATAATGTACCGTGTGGTGTCAAGTGAGATAATTATGAAATCATATATTATTTAGTAGTAAAATAGGCATATAAACATATAAATTCATAGTCCAATATTACTTGGGCTGAATCCCCAAATCATCCTTATACACTCCAAATTATGTTACCTCAACAGGTTTCAACAGGTTTCAAAAACAACTTATCTTATGTTCTTTTAATTATGTCTTACATCATAAGATGAATCCCCAAAATCATCCTTATATACTCCAAATTTTTGCCCACAAAACTCTTGGGCTGAGTGTTCTATTTAGGCCATTGGTCACTCATTACTACATAAAAGGCCTTTCACGTTGGTTAAAATGAACTTCTAACAATAATTTTGAGAGAGAGGTGTATGCCGATTCTGCGATTTCCATGTTGTTTCTATGAAAGACATGGTAAGTTACTTCCCATAGTGATTATTAATTATAACCAACGTTGAAAGGTAACATTCTTCATAGATAATCGAGTTTAGGAACAACTTGAATAGAAATGGATAGTATTCAAATAATATTGTAGTGATATTTTAGATCAGACTCAAATCCTCCAATTCGGATACTAAAAGAATATGACTTGATAAGGTTCATATCCGAATATGATTGTAAATAAGTCCAAGGGATAGACAATGAAACTTAAAACTTCAAATACGAGATCCAATTGGTGAGGTCGAATAAGACTAAATACACAATTGGGTTTGACCTTGGACAAACCTAGAAATAAGATATAATATTCCGATATTTTTAAACTTAACTCAAATAAAGAATATCAAGAGACTAGTCAAAACATGTCTTCCTGACTCAGATACGATTGGAGATAAGTCTTGGTAAACACAAGAGATTCCATGATTCAAATAAAGATTATAATAAGTTCTTAGGAATTTGAGAGCAAGAAATTAAATACAACTAGAAGTCAGTACGTCTATATTCGAGCATCCCTTAGGAGTATTGGAAAAGCAATACAAAAAGTCTAAGACACAACGTCTTGCTTCCTGATTCAAATAATCCAAGTTTTAATATATCCAAATATAGGATTTTCATATGTAATCGAAATATAACTTGAGATAAATCATCAATCAGATAAGCTATAACCAAAGTTATTTTTATTATAATCAAAACACAATATCTAACAAACATCTTGATCAAGGGCTTTAAGCTTAGGATTGGGCATTTATCAAATATAAAAGCACTAGCCAGTAGAAAGGTTATTACAATTAAAAGAACATAAGATAAGTTGTTTTTGAAGCCTGTTGAGGTATCGACTTTTTTTGTCATTGCCTTGACTACTATTGGCTTTTCGATAAGATTCTTTTGCCCAGAGAATGAAATTTCCTATGGTTTGGCCTACTCTTTGGACCTCTCTAACCATTCCGGACTTTCTCCATTTGGTTCTTGAAACTTTCTTATAGTGGATTGTTGAGCACAGGTGTGCTCAACCATCAGCAATGGGGCAGGTAGTGGGGGCATCTAATTAAGTAGAGAACACAATGCATTCCTTTGTTTTGGGTATAATCAGGGTTAGGATCAAGGTATTGTAGCTATAGAGTTTGATTATTATTGCTGTTTTCACTTTTCACCGTAGGTGAATCCTAAAATATTGAAAGAAATAACTTAAAGAAACTAAAGAGAATTAAATGAGCCTAAAAAAGAAGCGATTATTACTTGTGATGGTTTGGATAACTAGGGAATTTGGAAGTCACTTGTGCCCATCATCACTTCAAACTTGGCATTAATAAACTCTCACGAATTTTTTTTCACCTCCTCTTTATGCTCTTCATGGAGTTGAGGTCAACCTTTCTTTATTTCTACTGGTGCTAGGTTCTCTTGACTTGAAAAATTTCTTACCATCCCTCTTAGCCATTCTTACTTACACCACCCCTAATTGAAATCATACTCTCTCTCACACTGCTCCCAGCCACTGGTCATAATTATATAGCCAGAATCCTCATTTGATGCCTGCTAGGCCTATTTCATGCAACCCTGTCCCGCCCAATAGATGTCCATAATGCACCCTTATTTTTTAGGGATCCAACGCTACTTTTTGCAGAGGATGTACTAGTGCTTCCTTAACAACAACAGAGGCAAAGCAAAACAAGTGGTAGAGAGCTAAATATTAGGGGAAATGCAAGGTTCTTTTTTCTAGTTCTTCATAGTGCAAATCCAGGGTATTTTTAAGCTGGCAAAAGCAAAATTCATTTTTTTCAGATTCCTTTCATTTTTCTATTGGGTAGTTGTTCCCACATACTTTGGTTCTTTGTTTAGTACTTCTGTTCAATGAAACCAACTAGAGAGATGAGCTCAGAAAGAGGGAATGGTTGTGTAAGAGCAGAAGCAATGATGAATAGAGTGCCCATATCGACTTGTCTCACATGTGGCAATCAAGGCTGGCCCGAATGGTTAGTTTTCTGCAACAAGTGTCACGTCTACGCACTGCATAGGTACTTGCATTTTCCTTCCTACAAAACTCCCACATTTCTACTTTTTAGCTTGCAATCTTTCAAACATATTAGGCTCTAAAATTGCAATGTATGTTTCACATGCATGCCTACGCATGTTTCAAGGCAACAATAATCATTTTTAATTTTTTAAATGCACATCGCATATAGCTTGCACATGGATGACACAAAAGAACGGGTGAACGACCAAAAGAAAGTAGAATGGCAAGATATAAATTCTATCTTAGAGATATAGTTTCACCAGTTATAATTTACTAGATATTTTTAAGAACATAACATTTAAAATATCTATGATATGTGATGATACTGGTTGTTTTTCTATCTAGAAGTATATCCGTGATTGATAAAGTGCTTCAATGTTATTAGGATTTTAATATGATATCATATGGACATGCATACGTGAGCGATAGAGCATAAAATCAAAGAAGATAATTATGCATATTTTATTACTTGTCAAGTAATATATTTTGGCATAAAAAGTAATATATTTGCTCCCTTTGGGTGAGTGTGATAAGGATGTCAATGTGCCAATTTCTTTTTTGAGTTTCAAATCGATGCTTTTAATAGCCTATCTTTCTGCAAGCTCGGAAGCGCATATGAAATTTAATCGAATTTCCATTCAAGTGAAATAGAAATGTGAACACTACCTGTTGATGTTGTCAAAGCTGAAAATGATGAACTGCAATAGAACATTTTTGTTTTTGACTACACTTTCTCCCAGTTATTTAATAATGTAAAAAAGTGTCGGGATTTGACATTGTGTAGCTACAATTTAGCGATTTTAAACAACTTGGCTTCTGATTTCTAAATTCTCTCTTTTCAGGTATTGTTTAGATGGGCCTGTAATTATTCATGATGCTGTTACGTGGTTTTGTGAGGAATGTGAACTTGAGAAGCCACCGTCTCCTATGCAGAACAAACCATAGTGGTCATCTCCTTTAGTTTGTTTAACTTTAAGCCACTTCTTTGTGTAAAACATCAACATCTAAAAATATTTCATCAGCTATAACTTGCCCTTTTGAGTGTGCTTTAAAAAGCTGTTCTGGTTTTTTTTGTTTTTCATTATTGTGCACACATGTTAACTTATATTACTGTTGGTCTTAATATAAAAGCTAGAGTTTGACTTTCAATTTATTTTTAAATATAAGACCGCAATCAATTTTGTTTATCATATTTATTTATTTTTTTAAGGTAGTTCTTGTAGTAGTTACACATGTTAAATGTTTCATCAAATATTAAAGCCAATACACTTGATTAGCAGTAGTATTTTAGGTAAAACAACAATTATTTAGTATAAATAACTAACTTAACAAACTTTCTTAATTTACTGAAATTAGTCAACTAGCTCTTATATTAAGGACAGAAAGTAGTATTAACATATCTTGGTTCAACCAATTTGAAAATTTGTGGTTTAGATCCTTCTTTGCACTATCATACACTAATTAATTTTCAAATCACATTGTTTGCTGCACTTACACATAAATTTTTACCCTTGAAAACACCATCTAATTTGATAGTAACTCTTCCCGGACTTCTCAAAGCATAGTTGTGTGAAATAGAAAACAATGAGTGGTTCATGATAGGTTGAGCACTGAGTTTGTTGGCACATCATCTCCATTCTCAAGAGCAAGTCTTTCTTGATTGAACTTTAACTTCATCTAAAAACACATTGTTTAGACCAGTTGTAACACCGATCTAGAGCTTGTTTGAAGCTCCGTTCAAAAAGTATTTTTAAACAAATTCACGTAAGTCGAGATAAAATCACATTTAAAAAACTACCTATAAGCCATTCCAAACAAGCAACTAAAAAGCAGCCAACTTTCAAAACTAGTTTCTTCAAGACTAGTCCCAAGTTCGGTTTAATAGGCTGTTTATAGCTCATTTAAAAGACACTCTTTCTTACTACCGAATGTCCAAGATTGACCAAAACACAAAAATTGCATCTTTATTACCAGTCTACTATGTAGCATGATTGCATATAAGAATCAAACTACCTAACAAATTTTCCAACAACCAATCACAGTATAATTTATGACATACTAAAATTTCTTAAACATATTAGTTTTAACAGGTGACAGTGCTAGTTGTTTAAAGCAATGGCTTCCTGCATAGCAATCATGGCCAGCAAATTACTTAAATTAATTAATAATGCTCCCTCTATCACTTTTTATATGAAATAACTACTATATCTACCTTGTTTCTATTTATAAAAAATATTTAAAAGATATTTCAAATTTTTTTGGCTAGTTTCCTATTTTGTTTCTACTAATTACTTTTTTTAATACTCGATATATTTAGTTTTCTCTCTTCTAATCTCTTCCCCCATCAATAAAAATAATTTTTTCAAGAAAAAACTTACAAATTTATTGTTTTTAACAAATTTTAATTAACTAATTGATTCTCATGATTTGATCAAATATATTTTTTTTATCAAAAAAGATGAAAGAAATACCAACATAAATGTTGAGACTGAAAATTAGATAGGGGCTGCGCGAACGCAAGCCCCCACTGCCACAAATTATGATGCAGGCTCTCCCAAATTAGGAGACCTTAGGTGGACACCCCTCCAAAGTGCAATGGACGTCATCAACCTAGGCCATGGGCCTTATTGATCACCCAGTGACCCCACCCAGGTAAGTATGTTGGAATTAGCGCCTCCCCTTTCCTTTTATAGCCTGGCTTCCCGTTTCTTCATTTTACTTGCTCGATGTGGGACTTAATGGATCAAGAAGAGCATGAATTGGGCTTTTCTAATTTTCTCTGGTCCTCAATTGCTTGCTTCTACTGTTTGGGACCTGCTTTTCACCTTCAAGGCTCATAGAGAAGAGAAGACCTGGGAATACAGCTCTCTGTTTTAGATTGGAAAAGTCATGCTGGGTAGCACTTGATCCTCCTCTCAATCCCTATTACTTCTAACCACAAGGCTAGTAGGTTATTTTGAACTGAAAAGAAGTTCAGGTTTTGTATTTAAAAACAACATCTCAAGGCCAGGCCAAATATATTTACAAAGAAGGTACCGTGGTCAATTGTTTTTGACTACTTGTGGAGCGAAATCTGGGTAACTAGATTTAAACAAGCTTTCAATTCAGAAGAGCAGATTGAGGTTTCGAATGCTCTCCTTATTGTCTTCAATTCGAAGCTTTATATGGACATGGCTCTGTTAGATACTTGCTCTCTAGGCCAGAGCGACAAGATAAGCACTAGGTCCTGTTTGGTAAGAAACACTAAAAATGAGAGATAAAAATTAAGATTGAAATTATACAAAAAAACATATCAAAAAAATGTTTAATATGAGGGATTGCATATTACTTGAGGATTAGGCAAACCCATGGTATTATCCAATCTCACTTATATGAGTTTGTCTAATCCAAGTAATAAGCAATTTCTCATACTAAGTACTTTTTCAATGATTTTTCTCAATTCTAATCCTAATCCTTACTTCTCATTTTTAATGTTTCATATCAAACAAGACTTTTGAGATTTAAGAGCTCAAGTGTGTGGTATCATAGATAGAGGGGTCTTAAAATTTTCCGGAAAAGAGGCTTTAGTAAGGTGGAGCTATAATGTGGCTTTGTTGAAGCTATAGGATTGTTTTTTTTTTTTTTTAAATAAAAGGCCGCATAAAACGTGCAAAAATTAATTAGCTATTGAAAGCCTATGATTAAAATCTTCCAAGAGGATGGTGATGAACTATATAGGGGAAAATCTATGATGACGGCTTTAATATCTATTTGATGACTCTGGTGAGCTAACGAATTGGGCATAATGGTTGGTTTCTTTTAGAATGAGATCAAGTGTAACAATCCAATTAGATAGTAAAAGGTTGAGTATTTGTCTAATCCAACTATTTGAGAGGATGATTCTGTATTAGATCACCATTGATAATATGTAAAGCTTATGTAAAGTTGTTAAAAACAGCAATTTTGCAGCAAACATGATTCCAAATTAAGTAAAGGCCTTCGTAAATCACCACAACCTCTACAACCGTAAGGAAAGTGTGTCACAATCCAGAGTAGGCCGCCACAAGCAGCTTCATGGGGAGATATCCAAGAAGCTAGAGTTTTGATTGCTAGAGATTTTGATGGCAAACATTCATATAATTATATTATTGAAGAGGTTAGGATGTTGTAAGTAGAGAATGGCAAGTGTTTGTCTACTCTATGGATGGGGAAGCTAATCCTCGTGTGAATGAGTTAATTAACTAATTTTATCTTTGTTTTTATTTTATCAATGAAGTATACAATTTTTATCCGAAAAGAAATTCTCAAGGATGGGAAAGTGGTGGAGGGGGATTTTCTTTTTCTTTTTTTTGTTTTTTTAATCTTCACCCCTGTTACATATTGCATTCCGTGTATATATAGTAGTCTTGGGAGTTTTATTGCTGGAAATGACTTGGGGTAATTATTGTCTAATCAAAATAGAATATGTAGATTTTAAATTAAAAGTAAGTTAATAATATTAATAACATAATAAATAATGCGGAAATATCTACCAATTCTATTGAATAAATTACCTTAAACATATAAGAGTAAGTACTTGAGTTTTTTTTCCCCCCCTCCCTTTATTTATTCCGTTCCATATCCAGTCCCTTAGAAATTTCACTGTCGCATCTACCCTGATTCATTCCAAAATATACCAAAGTAAAACTTCTTTAATCTTATAAAAAAAAATATTTGAAATCAATACATTTTGCCCTCTAATAAAAATAATGAACTAATAAATTACATACATCTAAGCATTTTGGCATACCAACAAATGTTTTTAAAACTAAGGTGTAAATTAGGTCCTAAAATATTCCTTTACTAGCAATGTTGTCTCAAAAGTTTTTTATTTTTCAGTTCAAGATCGTCCCATAAGTAACAAAATAAATGTTGCTAGTCATTGTTAAAAATGTTGGCAATAAACATTGACATCAAAACTTATGAGAATGAGTGAAAACTTTCAGAATAAATTTATACGTTAATATATCTTTTCAATATTATATTTCAATCATGCTACTGATGATTTTATACATTTACATCTTATAAAACATGAAATATATTCGAAATAAGACACGTTAAAATTATCGAACTCTTAGACCCAAACTATAGAGATCGAGTACCACAAATTAGTCACCATGTGCTTTGAATTATGTCGACTAACTCACTCTCGAAAACAGACCACTAGCTAAACCTGGAAGCTTATGTTATTAGTTTCCAAGAGGATACAACTAGTCGACAAAAGTTTGGATTTCAACAGCAGAGATTATTTTCAAACTCATACCAAAAGAGATTATTGTCGTTACTACAACAATACGAGCTCTTAATATTACATACAAGCTACCTGGAGGCATACTCCCATGCTGGGCCATCTATAAGCAAAGCTGCAACTTTGACAATGGGGGAAATCCACGCAATCCGACTTCATACGCACAATTTACATTGCATTGTGATGGCTGGAAAACACGCCCATATTGATTATGCAGCTTTTAATGCCCTTGCATGTACGATTTAATCATTCACCAAGCTGGATTAGCAAGTCACTTGTCTAAGCAAACCGGAATTTGGCATGGACTCTGCTGGTTTCCAAATAATGTCTGATAGTTTTTCACAAAGGTGCTTGTAAAACTGCAGTAATACAAACAAATGTTACTGTCACATATACAAGCACATTATTTACATATAAATAAATATGGATGTGAGCCTTAGGCTAGACCCTAGGTCGAGGAATTGGCGCCCTGCTCGGTAGTTCTTGAGTGTGCCACATGAATTTATATAGATAATAGTGGAGACATACGCACATATGGAATTCTGAATGTTGAAGACAATGCTTAAGCTTTTTGATGAGATAATCTAATCCGTACATAACATTGTTTGCCGGTTATAGCGTAGCAGGAATGTGGGTTTTCCAACATCAAATAAAAAATCATCTATCATGTCCAGCAATCTTGCTGAATTAGCTCAGGCATGGAAATGTAGGGTTGGGCTCAATAGATCTAGACACATTCCTAATTCATGGCTTTCCAGGTGTCAAGACTCGAGCACCCTAGCCCAAAATTTCAAGTCGTGAGTGAACACCCCCAATGATTGGTTTGATTTTTACTACTATCAATAATATGCCCCGAACAAGAAAACCATTTATGCTTGAAGTTTGGACAACCATAGGACCATTATATCGTCCATTAAACTTAAGAGACCCGTAACACAAATATTGAATTTCTGATAACTTGGTCATTGAAGATTTGCTACAACGACGAAAGTCTAATTCATCCCAAAGATTTAAGCTATTAAGCCAAGCTACACAGTCACTATTATAGAAGATTGATAACAAAAACATGGTGAGTGCAAGATCCATTTCCGTTTGGGAAAGTTTCAATACACTGAGTCTTGAGGCAGAGGTGGCAAAACTTTTGAGCTATCAAAACTGAAAATATAAGATGTAGAAACTAACCTTGTGATATTCAAGAGTATCCCCAGCAGCCTTTCGAACGTCTACCATGAAAAGTGAGGGTGCAACTTCATAGACCTTTCTCACAAAAGCAGAGGTGATTTACAATATGACTGCTGACTACTATAGAAATCAAATCTTCAAACAGAAGATGATAAGACTGCAAGACCATCAAATGTAGAAATCAGGTTACCTCCAAAACCACTGCAAATTGTCCAGCGTTCCTTGCAGATGTGCCTTCAAGTCTCATCTGCGAGAAAAATATTATTAGGGAATCTACAGAAAATCATTCAACAAAGCGACCATGAAGAATAAGAAGAGATTAGGAAAGCTATTATTCATAAATTATGCATTAGCATGCTAGGTAGTGGGCCTAGGGTCCAGTAACTGTACCTAGAGAGATTAGGAAAGATATTATTCACACTCCTTAGGATTTAATTCAATTAGGAATTTAGTATATAAAATTTTTTCCTGGTCGTATCAATAAGGTCATGAAATTTCAATTTATTTATCTTTTATTTTACATCTAATGGATTTATCTGAACCGATACATGATTTTCTTTTTATCTTTTTGGGATCAGGTCTTGTATTAGGAAGTCTGAGAGTAGTATTGCTTACCAAAACAATTTTTCTGCCTTTCCATTGAGGTCCAAATTATGAATTATAGATATACTAAGTAATACTCCTCCGGTCCTTAATATAAGACCCAATTGTTGAGTTGGTTTTAGTCCTAAATATAAACCCATTTCTCATATTTATCAATTTTATCTAAATTACCCCTATGAATACTCTCTCAACCATAATCAAGTAGAAAAGGAAAAGAGGGTATTAAGAAAGATAATTATGGTATTTTAAGAAAAACGTGTCACATTTCTTATAATTAATTAACTTACCTAACTTCCTTAATCTAATCAAATTAGTTAAATGGGTCTTATATTAAGGACCATAAGAGTATTTTATTTAAATTAGGATTAAAAATCATATTGCAAATTACTTTTCTTTTATCTAAACAGCTTTTTATTTGTATTTTTACCTTTTATTTATTTTCTGCTTCCTTATATTTCGGGATCATGCATATGGGCACATGGTATTAAATATCTGGGAACTAATTTTTTAATATATTGGCTGAATGTCTCAAAACCTCTCTTCCTGAACGAGTTCTGTCTTCCCTCTTTGTCTTCATCCACCTTTTCATTCTGTGCCCTGAATCAGCTAGATGGTCATTGGTCCCTAAAATTTCTTTCATAATCTGTTAAATCTCCACCCATTCATGAGTCAATAGCTATCATTTAGAATTACTCGTTTCTATTCCGGAATTCCGGAATTCTACCTAAAGACGAGAGATTATATCTATTTTTCTCTCCACCCATAAGTAATATGAATGCAGAGAAAAAGGCACAAGTTATAAAGATGGTACTATGGGATTTTTAATGGAACTGGTGGTGGAATTGCAGTATTAGCGAGACAAGTGTGATGGCTGGGTTAAATCAAGTATGTGAAGGATTAGTGAGTTTGGGATTGTGCTGCATGAACTACCCTGTGTGTGTGTGTGTGTGTTGTTTAAAAACAAAGCTCGGTACTTGACCTAATTTACAACTTAAAATATAAATAAATTTTCTGGCCAAGTCAGTCAATCACTGCCATTGGGGTTTACCTGTTTCTCCACATGATCTTAGAAACTCAACAGTAAAGCTTCCGTTGTTTCTAAATTCATGGTCAAAAGTCCAATTATCTCTCCAAGGAGCTCTGCCCTAACCCTCCACCCCCACAACCACCCCCCCGGGGGGTGTTTCCCTTTCCTCTGGTATAGCCTAAATATCAAGTTCTGTCCAAATTTCCACTTTGGACCTATTTTCAATTACTGGAAAACTTTCTTGTGAACCATAAGATTGGAACCCCCAGCAATAACGTACGGGCAATCATGAGTTGCAGTATTTTGTCTAAGGTTTAAGGTTCCAAAGTTAAGTCTGCTTATATTTGATTTTTGATTCAGTTTTGTTGGTAACAAATTGAATTTGAACAATTTTCAGCTTGAGGAGAAGTAGTTAACGTAGTTGATATGATGGCTGGCTTAAATTGTGTTAAATATTAGTGATCTTGGGCTTGCACTACATGTACTATCCTTTGTATTTAACCTAAATTATGAATAGGCACACAGCGTGTCTTGCTGAGTAAACTGGTAACCTCAATGAGTTTTCTTTCTTTCAATACAGCTTCCCATTAGCTTTAATCTCCTGATGTAATTGCATCATCCAACTACATCTAACACAAACACAGACATGCAGAGAGGTACCTTGTAACTGCGACAGTGGACCTTAAGGCCCATTGATTCTGCAACAGCTTCAACAGATGCAATTATAACTTTCGCAGGCTTACGAGATACAAAACGAGTTTGCCTCTTTATGTAGTCCTGTTAAGACAGCAAAAGAATATCTTTTGCATTAATGCAACGAAAAACCTTGGAAAACACAGAATATGGAAACTAATAATACAGTGCTTAACCTGACGCCTATCAAATAGGGCTGATAGATTCAATCCTTGTGATAAAGTTATCATCTCAAATGCATTCATTGTCAAAGGACCGACCTCAGTATTTTCTGACCGTTCAGCCACATACTTGTCCTGTCAAAAATGAATGAACAGAAAAGGCCAAGATAAGACCATGTATATAAAATCTAAAACTGATTATATCACTCTCAGCATTTTTGTTGCTCGTTATTACAGTTGAAACTTCAAAAAGCACCCATCTATACATATGTCCTAAATCTACCGTAATACATTTTTTCCTCAACTTGACGAGCATATTTATTCATTGATTCAGTAATTCAAACACACTTATTTTCCATCTTATTTCTTTTTATCTTTTGGGTTAGGTTTTCCACCTTTGTGTTGAAAAAGAGAAACCATTTCCTTAGACTTAACTAACACTGTTGTTCATGTAACATCAAATTAGTAATTCAAATGCACATTTTCAGTATCATATCCAACTTAGGACAACTGACATACTACATATATGTAGCCATCTTTCGGCATCTTCTAGTAGATTTCTTCATGTAGATGCGGTACATTCATCATAAAATAGTTATATAGTAGAAATGCATTATAACTACTTATTTATCCAAATCATCATTCAAAGAGAAATAGCAAACCTCAATGTTATCAAAAACAGCCTGAACATCATCCAAATTCACTTCCTCATCGTTCCCAATTTTAACGGGAACATAACTTTTAATGAACCACGGATCTTTTCTTATTTCTTCAATTCGGATGCGCTGCAATTCATACCAAAAACAGCTCAGGAAAAAAGAAATAAAGAAAGATTCAATTGCTAAGCATGCAACACCTGTCAGGATTAGCTAAGTGGGAGGAATTGAAAAGTATCATTGGAAATTACATTTCCAGTTAATTTTGATTAGACCAAGAATCAATAGATATAAGCAGGGGGGAAAACTTCATTATGAAGGGCAAAGTAGTTATTCCACTCTATGCAAAAACTCATATTTTTATGACTATACAACCAGAATGGGCAAAGTACTTTTAAGTGGATCAGTACCAACATCCTTTGCTCAACAGGAGAGTTTTATTTGACTTTTTGCGACACTTCTATCCCCCATCCAAAAAAAGAGCAGTGCAATCATTCAGGCAGCAACAACCAACAGAAATATTTAAATAAAATCATTGGCCGGCCTTGCCCTAACAGCTTAACTGTATTATCGGTTGGCCTTACCCTAGCAGCTTAACAGTTGACCCTTGGGTTTCTACTAACAGCATCACCTACGGTCCTACACATACGCACACTACTGAAGGCATCCTATCAGGATACATGATCACTATTATCCAGAAAACTAGCATCTAACTCAACTAATCATAGATACAAACAGAAAGCATTTGATTAATCACTTGTTTGCAGCAGCACAATACATAACCTATACTCCCGCCGGTCCTCTATATATATATATATATATATATATATATATATATATAAGGCATTCCAAACTTTTTCACACATACTAAGAAAATTTGTTTTTGTATTAAATTTGTCAAAAAGCAACCAAAATTTTCATTTTTACCCTTATTAAAACCTTCATGAGATCAATAATTAAAAGTGTTGAGGGGTAAAAATGGAAAGCCATTACAAAATATTGAGATACACATTATATTATGGACCAAGGGTGTCTTCTAGAGGACACTTTATAAATAGGACCAAAGGGAGTACCAATTGGTAGAAAGAGCAACAAGTCATATTGCATTGGATGAGATTGGCTACATGTAGAGTAAGGAATTCAAGCTGGACTTGACGGGGCAACCTAAATAGGCCCAGTAAATTATAGGGCCCGGCTTGATGAAAATGATCATTTTAAGTAATTCGGGATTATTCAAGCTGGCCCCTCTATTGTTTAAATTTCTTTTACAATGAAGATAATTGAGGAGATATAACTGAATATGAATGAAGAGGTCTAACTTCTTCCAAGTTGATGCTTGTATGTTTATTTTCATGTCAATTTGTTCTGTGGTTTGACAGAAAATAGAGAGAGAGAGAGAGAGAGGTAGAAGGAGAAGTTAGGAAGGAGAAGAGAGAAAAGCAAGAGAGAATTCTGAATAGTACTATCAATTACTTTCAAAACTGTTCTGCAATTACAGGTAACCTCTCTTATATAACCCCTAACATAATTATACAACGGCCATATTAACTAACTCCAACTATAACAAACCACCCTTACTAACTAACTATTCTTTTATTACTAACTAATAATACATCACATTGTTTATGAGCTTATCCATATTTGTGCCCTGAACTTGAATTGCAACATTTGTGTGAACTATGAAGATTATATTGTACTGTTTTGATTTTTATAGAGTCGAAGATTTATTATGAGCTGAACAATTTTTAAGTTTATCCATGCCAAAATTCATATTCTTGTTTTCGTAAAAGAAAAAAATCAAAAGGAAAAAGGGCTAACGGACCGGCTCATTAGCCCAGTCATCTATGGTTAAGCCTTGTGCATTAGAACCATTTGGCCTAACCAGGCTTATGCCAGCCAGCCCAAATAAGCCCGGCCCCCCCAAATTCCCATTTTTACATTGATCACACAATGCCATTTTGCTTTAACAACCAACTCTTTAAGACATATCAAAAGGTCCCATTCGATAACTTCCTTGAGGATTCTTTTAACAACAATCAAATCTTTTAGATATTCTTCTTGGCCATTCTCTACTCTTTCCACAACTCAAGACCGTATGTTCCATCCCCCTCACATGCACCTCAATTAGCCTTCATTGTGTATGTTTGAACCACATCAAACAATTTTCTACTATCTTCTCCTCAATAAGATGCCACGCCAGTTCTTCCTTGTATATGGTCATTAAGAATCTTATGTTTTCTTGTAGGCCACCCGTCTATCTCTACATCCCCATTTCTACTATCCTAATTATTTTTGTTCTTGTTGTCCGGGACAACTTGTCCCTTTGATGCCTAACATTCACTATCATATAGAATTACTAGTCTCATAGTAATTCAATAAAACTTTCTTTAAGCTTATTAGGTACTTTTTTTTTTTTTTTAATCACAAATAACTCCAATGCCTTTCTTCATTTTAACCACCCAACTTGTACTTCTACGTGTAACACTTCTACCAATTTCACTGTCATCTTGTATTATCAACCCCATATGCCTGAATTTTAGCACTTGCGGTATAATTTGATCCCTAGTTTTAACCCAAATAAAAAAAATCACTTCTAACTTGCCTCTTATTGAACTTGCAATGCATGTATTCTTACTCCAACACAAGCAAAGGCCCTTTAATTCCAAGCTCCGTCTCTATATTTCAAGTTTAGAGTTAATCTCTTCTCTTGATTTAGCAACAAAGACTATATCACACATAAAAAGCATGCATTTGAGGATTTCCTCGTAAATATAAGGAAGAATCTAGCACTTATTGGTGGGGGCCCAACTGAAAATTATCTTTGAGGGGCCAACCATACATTTTAACATTTTTTTACAGGCAAACTTTTCCACAATGCTTAAGATTGAATCAAGTATTGCATCCATCTCTACTTGAGTGTACTGAATTAGAACGCCTGAAATCAAGACAAGTAAGGGCTAAAGATTTCTATGTAAACCAATCTTTATAGGGAGGTCTTTTGCCACACTTCCAAACGTTGTTACACTAGTTGTGGTCCCCTTATACATTTTCTGTATACATCTAATATACACAACATGTACACCTTTGTTTGCAAGGGCTTTCCATTAGCACTTCTCTTGGTACAAAACTCATTAGCCTTTTCTAAGTCAACTCCACTTATGTTTCATGGCCAACCCCAAGTCTACGTTAGGCCCTTATTAGCCAACATAAAACTTAACCAAATCTCATGTGGAAATGGATCATAGAAAAAGCAAAGAACAAAAAACAAATAATAATAATATTTCCACTCTCAATCACCAGGACTTCCAAAATACTGCAATGCATGCATTTTGAGTGTTTATTATTCATACACCCGTCCAACAAAAAGTGAGTTGATGTACTTACCGTTTTAGGATTTGGATCCAAAATTTTATGTAATAATGTCTTTGCCCCAGCGGAAAACCAGAATGGACAAGTAAATTCGGCAGCATTAATCTGCACAGTTAAAGGGCAAAAAGAAAAAAGAAAAAAAAGAACAGTAGGTAATGAATTACGAATCTGCAGCAGTAAATACTTTTTACTACAAATATCGTTAGGCCTACACAAAAAAGGATTCTCACGGTCTCTAAACATGACAACAAGGTAATCCCTATCATCAGAAGACAAGCCTGAACTTAAGAACCATGCATCTTAACCTATGGTGCTATATAAATGACAAGTAACAACCGCCATGGTCAGGAAGATTACCATTTTTGAAGTTTGCTTCATCATTTTTGGCAATTTTTCCATTACTATATGAACTTTAAATTGGCCTTTTTTTTCTTCTTTTTTTTACCATTCAAATTTTCTTTTACTTACGTCTTAAATTATTAGGTAACCTTTTATTTCATTTCTTATTTTTATAGATTGATTTTCTGAGCATTACTATAATATTTTAATAGGATCCAGTAGAAAGGAAAAATAATGAACCACATAATAGTAAATTTAATTATTCATCCTTTGATGCCTAGAATTGACAAATTAATTGCAATGTAGAGTACTCTTCCAATCCCATACTCTATCTTCTTTCTGGCCCTCTTATCTCTCCGCTTCTGTAAGAGAATTAGGAAGAGTAAATTACCCTTTTGAACAGAGCCGGTAGATTTGGCTCCTCAAAAGGAAGATATCCAGCCATAAGGACGAATAGGATGACTCCACATGACCAAACATCAGCCGCTGCACCATCATAACCTAGATTGCTAAGAACCTACAGGATGACATTTTGGTAAGCCACTGTCACACAAGACAGCTTATATGATTATGGTTCTTATTGACAAAAAATCAAACTTATGCAAGGTCATGGGCAATAACTTCCTAAAAAACAAACATAACTTGTCGCACTGACAAAAGTGCTACCAATTTGACCAGCTATTGTGCTGCTCATAAATATATAAATGCCATCACAGCAGAAGCACATGAATTACCACTTGAAACATTGAATGTCTAAATAATGAAATGAGGACCAATTTCACACAGCAGAAAACCAAGATGAAGAAACATGCTCAACTTCCTCAGAAGCTTTGCCTTCAAATTCAATCCTTCCCTACTAGCTTTTCCAACACCCATCATGAATCTTATATTTGGATAAAGGTTCTACAAAGAATATATCAGGGTTTTCCCATCATATCTTGATCTGTATCATAACCAGCGATTCAATAAAATAACATGAATTCTCACATCATAAATGTTGTCAGCTTTTGAAAACTGAAGTTGACAATGACATTCATTAATCAAACACAGCAATTGGTTCAACCACTAAACAGGGAAAATATCAATGCAGCAACTACTGATATATTAAGATTCAGAACTGTCTGATCAGTTTTACCTCTGGGGCAACATAATTTGGGGTTCCACATGTAGTGTGGAGGAGGCCAGCACCCTGCAAGAGAGCACAAAAGGGAGTAAGGGCAATATTAGAGAGTACAGTATAGATTACAGAATTAAAATCCAGGATAGATAACAGGATACCAAGAAAGGGCAAGCTTTCTTGATGCAAGAAAGAGAACTTTTCTCATAAATTAAAGTCGAGTAAAATATAGACATTTTATTTGACTTCTTTACATCAACTGGCATGTTCTTACCTGCTTAGTCAAGGCACTTAGTCCAAAATCAGAAACCTTCAGATTTCCAAAGGCATCAAGAAGCAGATTTTCAGGCTGTAACAGGATAGATTACAGAATTAATCAGGATTATAACATGGTATATTAAACAAGAACTAAATGGACAAGAAAATTAATACCATATATTCTCTTTTACCTTTAAATCTCTATGGTACACACCCTTACTGTGACAATGAGCAACAGCATCTATGAGTTGCTGAAAGTAGCGCCTAGATTCATTTTCTGAAAGTTTCACCTGCTGAACCTAAACATCCAGAAAAGGTAAAGAAACATGAAAGATGTATATTTACGTCTGCATGAACCATGGATATATCTATTCTCATCATAAGCAGAAAGTCATCACTTTAGTGTTACTAGCATAAAATGGTCAAACTTAAGTATAAACAAAGAAGAATCAACCTAGCATAGTCTATGGCATAAGTGAGGGAAAAAAGTAGTCTTACAATTTTGTCATATAGTTCTCCTCCCATGACAAACTCAAGAATTATGTATATCTTAGTCTGGCTAGCTAAAACCTGAAATTCAAAAACAATGTTTGTAAATGAATAAAATTAATTTCATCCAAAAAATTAAAATGGGGAAACGGGAATAGCTGATGTATACATCACGATGTGCCAACACATACCTCATGCAACCTGACTATGTTGGGATGCCTGACAATTTTCATAATGGATATTTCTCTTTTAATCTGTAATAGCATTCAAGTTATAATAGTTAATATGAAGGGTAGTCTAAAATTCAACACTGCCATGCATCAGTATTCTGTGTTACATGTGTTGTTAAGCATATACGTCAAGCTTTTGATTGCTGATGCTACGAGCAACATTATCATGGGGAAAGAATTTTCTTTTTTGAGCTGACTGGAGTGATGTAGACATAGTTATTGCACAACAGTCATATGCCAGAAAGGGAGATTAGAATGACAATGCATATAAAAGCAACTTTAGTTACATGTCATTAGAGTTCCCCATATGTAATGCAACATGGAATTGTAAGCGTACTTCCATACTTAAAGAATCAAGATTTTGTAAGATAAGCAACTGGCAGAAATGAAAATGAACCTCCATAGCTTTTTCGTTTTCTCCTTCTTTAATGTGAGAAATGTTTCTGGTATAGATGTGGCCTCGCATTAAACCTGATGGGCATTCTACCCGCTATCACTTAGCTTAACCAATCCACCTTATAATGGTTCTAAAACAAACTATCAATTCGTTTCTCCATTTCTCACCATGGTGACCAAAATAATGTTATGAACCTGATTCAGCAAGTTTATGAAAGATTTGACCACATGCATATGTCTTAGCTATCTATTACAGTATCATAAACATGCATAAACAACAGCACAGACCATGCTTATGCGAAGGCTGAACACGTCTATTCAACGAATATTTCAAGCGTTCTGTTCACAAACGTACGATTCATAAAATGGGAAAAGAATATTAGATGACAAAATGCGCATTAGAGGTTTTCAATGCTCTTTTGCGAATAGAACTACATTTTCAAAACACTACACTTATCCATGATATGCCTGGAAGCTGAAACATGAAATTCTGTCAGAATAGAAGAAGAAGAAAACGAAAACGACACCTGTTCAACCATTCTGTGCTCGAGAATGGTGCTCTTAGACATTACTTTAATAGCCACACTCTCCCCTGTCTCTGTGTTTCTTGCAAATTTAACTTTGGCAAAGGTACCTTCACCGATGGTACGACCCACTTCATACTTGCCAACCTTTCTCCTCACCTTCTTCATGGTCTTCCAGAGCTCATTTATCGGGTAAAACCAGACTTATCGTCAAAATTCCAATTCAAAGATGACCTGAAAGCATCAATTGGGTCGTTAAATACCCCACGCATATAAACTGAACTCTACAACCCATAAACCGAAAATGAATTCTGTTTAATTCCTGCTGAACACAGAGAATGAAGAGGAGCCATTTCCGCGCAATGAAGATCATATGAACAGCATTATCTTCCGGTTAAGCAGTCGATCAAGAATTATATTAACAGTCCAGTAACCACTTCCTCGGAATCTAAAAACCCAATACCCTAGCCACCGATCAAACGAATGGCCGAGCGACCAAAGGAAAGAAGACAACAAGAATTAAGTAACCTTGAGACAAGAGTTGACCGATACCTCGCGTTGTCAAACTCCGAACTAACAAACGGACGGTGAGTCGAGGTAAGATTGGAAAGCGAAGGGAATATGAAGACAAAAGAAGGCGGGAAGGAAGCAAAAGAGAATATTCTAGAAACGATCAAAGCCGTTAGTAATGGGAGACAACAAGAAAAACGAAGCACCAAGTTTTCCGGAGCTCCGGCGAGAGGAATTGAGTAAACTGAGTAGACTCGTCCGACGAGACGGTGATCGGCAAGAGAGACGAAGAAAAGGAAAAGTTTTTGTTTTGTGCCTGTGGCTGCTTGTCTGTACGTCCCAAATAAGCCGCTCGAGACGTAGAAGATTTTACAGTCTCCTTGTCGAAGCAAGAACATCGTGCGGATTACAGTTGTCTTCTTTCCTCCCACCAAATAAAAACTACCGTGAAAATTGTTTCCGTAGCATCCAAAAAAACCCACCGTGAAAATCAAACGGTTAAAACTTAAAAATATTACCACCTCCTAAAATATTACCACCTCCTAATATCCTCAAAATATACGTAAACAACTAATTTGATATTCAATTTGATTTTAAATATAAAATCACAATCTATTTTATCTCTCGTATTTATCTGTTTTCTTTAAGGTAGTCCTTATCCTTTTTTTTTCCCTTCAAAGTGGTCTTTATACTAGTTGTACATATTAAATACTCCTCCAGTTCTTAATATAGGACCTAATTGTTAAGTTAATTTTGGTTCTAAATATAAAATCCATTTCTCATATTTATCAACTTTTTCTAAATTATCCTTATGGATACTCTCTCAACTGTAATCAACTAGAAGAGGGAGAGGAGATATTAAGAAAGATGATTATAGTGTTTTAAAAAAAAACATGTCATATTTTTTTATAATTAACTAACTTATCTAACTTCCTTAATCTAATCAAATTAGTTAAATGGGCCTTATATTAAGGACCGGAAGAATATTTTATCAAATAATAGTTCTAACTAATATACATGACTAGTAAGAATATTTTAAATAAAATAACACCTATTTATTACACATAATTAATTTAACTAATATTTTTAATTTACTCAAATTAGTCATTTAACTTTTATATTAAAAATGGGAGTTATAGTTAAATTTAATAAAAAATAAAAAATACATAAAGAAAATAAATCACGCACAATCAATAGAATAAAAGTAAGAAGGTTAGTTTAAAATTTTAAACTTACAAAAAAATTTAAATTTTTAAAAAATTATATTCGAAAGAAATTGTTTTTTTTTAATAAAAATGACAGAGGGAGTACCTCCTATCATATAGATTTTACTTTGTAGTCCAGATTTTACTTCAAAGTGAATGTTTCTTCAGAAGTGGAGCTAGTGATAGCAACTCTGAAAGCTTAGGGAATTTAAAAAACAAAATGTTACCAGATTGTTCACAGAAAGCAAGGTTTTAAAATTTTGATTAACCATTCGATCCGGATGTCATGGGTTCAAATTTCAGTCCTGCCATAATCGAACGGCCAAGATTAATTAAATGTATTTCTAATTTATAAGTTAAATACTCCTCTGATCTATTTATAAATTATTTCCAATATGTTTTATACAGACTAAAAAAAACCTTAAACTTTATTAACTCATTTAAAATTTAATAACTTTTTAATTTTATCCCTACTTAATATACACTATACCTCATACAAACAAAGTCAACATAATAATAAACAAAAGTTAAAATTGTATATTCACATAAAAAATTTCTCTCCTTACCTTATAAAGAGGGCCAAAAAATATCTTCTCTATTTACTCTGTAAATAATACTAAAGTAGTATAATATTACAAGTTGCTAGTCAAAAAGTATAACATTGCAAGTAGTAATAGTTTTCTTTTTGCGACCTACAAGTAATATTTTATATATTATCATTTTACTGAACTAAATTTATGGGATAAGTTTAAGTAATTGTTTGACTAAATCACATGGATTAAGGAAGATGGTTAAGAGCAATAAACATATATAATGCCCATATAAATTGGTTCTCAAGTTAGTTGTGAATTGATCATCAATATGTCATGATTTAAAAGTAAAAAAAAAAATTATGAGATTTAATATTTATATAATGCGTATAATTATTTTATAACATATACATATTTCTTGCACATATGCTGATTAATTTTCTCTTTTCAAATGCTTATAATATATAAATATGGATAAGATATACTACTTCCTATTCTAAATATAAGATCTAATTTTGTGATGTAAAGTTAAATCTTATATTTATGATAAGAGGTAGTATCACAGGAGCATTACTTAAAATTTTCAAAATTAAAAAATTTTGACCAGTTAGGTTGCTTGTCAACAGAACTGGCCTTTTGACAAATCTAGTTGAAGTTTTGGACAAGTTAAATCCTTCTTTTTTCTTTTTTTATTGAACCTAAAACAATACTAATTCCGGTTTTTAATATAAGAACTCGTTTAACTTTTATTTTGGTTCTAAATATAAGACTTTAATCTACTTCATTAGTAAGGATATTTTAGAAAAGACAACACATATTTATTACAAATAACTAATTTAACTTACTTCGTTAATCTCCTCAAATTAGTCAATTAACTCTTATAATCAGGACTGAACGTAATATTATTTTGAGTTCAAAAAAGATAACAGTCCGCTACTCAACCAAACTTGTACTTCAGTAACTATTTTGTTGAGTTATGTGTGTCTTTATATATGAATATTTCATTCGCAAGTGAAATAAAAAAAGTCACTCTTTTCAGAGTTATATATAAATATTTTTATCTCTCTCTACAAATATTTTTTACTCATTTTAATCAAGTTATATTATTTTAATTATGACTGGTTTAATCACGGGTTCATCCTAGTTTAAACAACTAACATTTGAATAATTGTCTCAATTAATTCAATGATCAATCTGATTTTCAAAACTTTAACTTAAAAGTTTCACCAGAAAACCTAGATCTCTAGATAGGCCAAGTTAGAGAAAGTTAGATATACTCAATTCTAACCTAATTGACCACCAAGTAGTGGTAATATTGTTCAAAAGTAACTTTTTAATCATGAGCTAAGTATGTAAGAAAAATTTTATTCCGACGTATGTGAATGTGTTTCGAAATATTTATATTAAACAGTTTCAAACAAGTACCTAGTTTTTGAAATTCTGACCTACTTGATTAGATATTCAAATCTGTAACTCAAACTAGACTATTCGAGTTGGCAAATTAACTATACATCATCCACTGAAATAGTTCAACAAGAAAATCAAATCTACGGGAACTCAAAACACAACACTAGAATAAGGGAGGAAGAAGATGGATAGCTGTGGAGGAAGAAGAAACAAAAATAATCAAATATTACCAAATATAAGAGTTTTTTTTTTGGTAAAAAAAAGTTTAATTAAGTTGAGTCCCGAGAGCTCACCAGGGCCAGGGCATGCCTCTAGGCTCAGAAAGTGCTTACAGAGGTATTTACAGATTATCTACCAACAAGGTCCTCACATCAGCAGCATGATTCAAACTCATGACTTTGTGGGTTATGAGCCGACTCCTTACCAACTGGACTAACTCTTGATGGTTTATAGTGTAATTTACACTATAAATTAACTCTCATATTTAGGATCAAAGATAGTAGTCCAATAGACAAATACACTCCAATCAACATCAAGGAAAAAGAAGAAGCAATCAATTCATATTGAAATGTCTTCCGCTAGCCTTTATAATTAAATCTATTTATGCATGACTATGAATGATACGGTTAGAAGTTAGTAAAGTGACTTTCATTGATAAAGAGAAACCAATGTTGTTCAAAATGCAACTTTTTTGCAAACTTGTTAAACATGCAATTTAAAAGCCAAACACCCCCATTTTTTTTAAAACCAAAGTTGTTGGATCATACGGTTTTACACTTTTAGATGTTTAGCTGTGGTTAATATTTTTAGAATTGGCTGAAAGTTCCCAGACGAGTTTGTGAGTTTCAAATAGCTATTTCATTTAAATTGTGCACACCAATGATTTAAATTGCGCACACCAATGATTTAAATTGCATTTTTAATAAGTTTTATATTTAAATCAACAGTTACTGCACACAAAAGTCGCAGTAACGTTAGTTTACGACTTCTGTAAATGAAAAGCAAAGTATTTCATCCGAAATTTGGGAGAAAAGTGAAAAATAGAGTGACTTTTCTAATATAAGTCTTTTTGTTTATGAGTATTAAATACTATAAGTTAATATATGTTGGTATTTTCTCGTAGGATACTGTTATTTTTTAGAAAAGATGACAACAAATAAAGACTTCTCAACATGTGAAATTGGGATTTGAAACTCCAATTTAGAAAATAACAAATAAAGATCCGGTTTCATATTACAAATATGAAATCTTAATGAAATGTCTGAAATGCCCTTCAATTAAGTGACAAGTTGACTATAGAAAATGACAAGTTTATTTTAATAAATGACAATTTCAGCAGATCAAATAATAACTTGGTTGAGGAGTATTTCAGACATTTCACTAAGATTTTATATTTGAAATATGGGACAAAGTCTTTATTTGTTATTTTCCAACTTGAGGGTCCTAAATCATAATTTCACATATTAGCAGTCTTTATTTGCTATTTTTTCTTATTTTTAAATGCACCAGCGATATAAAATTTAGGGGAAATTGCAAAAAAAGACCTTGGAATTGTAAAAACGCAGATAGGGACCCTTGACAACTTCACTTTGGGTTTTGACAAGAATAATATGCCCTGAAGTTGTCAAAACCCAAAGTGAAGTTGTCAAGGGTCCCTATCTGCGTTTTTGCAATTCTAAGGTCTTTTTTTGCAATTTTCCCTAAAATTTAACTCAGAAAATTTATTTTACTTTTGGTTCAATGATTGCGCTTCGAAAGGGCAAAAGGGGATGACTGTATGACGAGGGTATATGTAAATCTCACTCATAACTTTCAATTCTATCGCTATTTCTTTTTTGGTTCTCAAAATAAAAAAGTGACACTAACAATAACAAACTAAGGCCTTTTTTTTTTTTTTGACCGGAATAAACTAAGGCCATTTAGTGTAAGATATACACTTTATGTACATGCATATTTTCTTTACTATCTCTCCCACTGCAGATATGCCGGGAAATTTAAAATATATATATATATATTCTATGTGACTTATTAATAACTTGAATCCAGTAGCCTTTCATCAATTTAAATTTGAGTAAAATAATATACCAATATCCCTCTACTTTATCTAGATTACAGAAACCTCTCTTTTACTATTACTATTACTATTACTATTATTATTATTATTATTATTATTATTATTTGGAATTACAAGGCAAGCAAAGCTTAACTACTGCAGGGATGGA